CCCACCTTACCTTACTCTAACCCACCACTAACCACCATCCTATCACTGTAGTCGTCACAGCTACCACCCTGCCACCTATTTCTCCACTCTGGCCTCACCCCATCGCCTCACCCCACCCTGCTTGTCCCCAACAACCCCCACCTATAGAGCAGGGGTGGGGCAGGAGTGGTGGGGAGGGGTTGGGTGGTGGAGTAGGGTTTGGGTAGGGGTGGAGCGGAATGATAGTTGTGACGATGACAATAGTGACATGGTGGTTGGTAGGGTGTGGGTGGGGCAATGGGTGGGATGGTCCAAACAAAGACGATTGTTCCAATTCTTTTTGACAGATTTCATTCCAATTCCTACTAACCAAACGCGTGGTCAAATTCGATCAAATTCCATTCCAGTTCCTTCAAAGTCAAATTCCTTTGATGAATTCTAATTCCATTATGTGAACCAAACATCCCCTTATTTTATAATCAACGGAATTGTTGAGCATTTGGCTCGGTTTCGATTTAAATAAGTCTTTGGGAAATTTGTCTGATTTAATTTGCTCTATGTTGGGTTTTTAGGGTTTTTATGAGCTTTTATGGTAGGGGTGAGCATAAGCGGGTACCTGCCCTATTTAACAGGAACCGGAACCGGCGGTTCTTGAGATATTGGAACCGGGACCATAATCGGTTAGAGCGGTTCTTGAATTTTTAGAACCGGAACCGCCGGGAACCGGTTCCGGTTCCGGTTCCGGTTCCGGGTACCCGCTTCCTAAAATATTAAAATTTTGTTATTTAGAAATAAAAAATAAAACATTGCCAAAACACTAAATAAATAAACAAGAATACAAATTGTTATACGGAATAATGGTTACAAATATTGTTTAACGATTACAAACCATAATAGACTAATAGTAAATGTTGAAAGTTTAACGATTACATACTATAATTGTAAATGTTCAAAGCTTAACGATTACATACTACGAATCCAATTAAACATACAATTTGAAAAAATACGAATCATTTTATCTCAAATTCTGAATCTCGTTTCAACTTCTTGCATACCCATCGCATCCTCAACCTCGTACGGTACCTGTGAATAATTGAGTGTTAAAAAAACTACACAAACTCGTAAAAAACTGCACATATTTTTAACAAAAAACTACACAAATTTTATTTAAAAAAAACTGCACAAACTTTGTATAAAAAATTGTACAAATTATATAAAAAACTGCACATATTTTTAAGATAAAACTACACATTACATAAAAAACTGCACAAATTATATAAAAAACTTCACAAATTATATTTAAAAAATTAATTATTATTTTTAATTGAAAAATACCGGGTATCCTCCAGTTCCGGTTCAGGATACCCGCCGGTTCCGGAAAATTGAGAACCGGAACCGGAACCGGAACCATTCTCAACCGGTTCTGTATTTTAGGAACCGGAACCACTCATATCGGTTCCGGTTGCGGAACCGGTAGTTCCAAGGCAGTTCCGGGTCCACAAGTGGGTACCCGGTTCTGCTGCTCACCCCTAGCTTATGGCATATTT